AGGAGCTCAAGAATGGAAGATTGGCCATGTTCTCCATGTTTGGATTTTTCGTGCAAGCCATTGTCACCGGAAAGGGACCGATAGAGAACCTAGCCGACCACTGGCTGACCCCGTTAACAATAATGCTTGGTCATATGCCACAAACTTTGTTCCTGGAAAGTGAGCTCCATGGAGACCTTAGAGAAAAATGCTTTTACAAATTGTGTAAAGCGGTGGTTGTAAAACGCAAGTTTTTCTATGTGCTTACGCTAATGGAATCTGATAAATGTCTTTTGAGTTTAAATTTGTGTAGAACAATTTCAACTTAATTACTGCAAAAACTCAATTTTCTTAGTTCAAAATAGCCACCACCTTCAAGCTTCAGTTAATCCATCTTGTCATGAAAATGCAATATCAGTTCAGTGTTCAATGGATTTCATGCAGTTACTCGACTAGATTAAAATAAATATAAATACAAACACGATGAAATTACACTTGCTGCAGTTCTTTAATTTGTTAGGCTTCATAAAATGATGTGGCAGCTTCAACTTTTGACAATCTGTTTTGGAAATAATTACGAAAAAAGGAAGAAGAAAATTTTATGTTTTCTTCTTCTTTTTGGTTACATTAAATAAACAAAGTCCAAGTTTTACTAGTGAAGCAGACGCAAGAACAGAGAGAATGAGAAAGATAAAGGAACGGAATCTGGTTAATGAGCTCACTAATAAGCTAATAATACAATTAGTAAACTAATTATGAATATTTACAGCTGACAATATATGATTTATCACACCTGTCCAACACTTAAACCCTAAAATGGAGATCGACCTCTGCGTGTTTGGTCCTGCTATGAAGGATGTGAGCAGGTCAAATTTTGGAGATGTTATCACATCACAAATAGTTGGCTTGTCAAGATACAAAAGCAGATCACACAACCAACGAAACTAGTGCAATTCACATGTTTAACAAGCCGAAACGCGCCTGATATTCAGCTTCGGTGGGTGACCGAGAAACATTTTGTTTGTGAAACACACATTCTTCATGTCACCCAAGTTTCTGTTGTCAACATGTTAAGCTTGAAAATTCTCTGCACATGTTTTATGAGCTGAAGTGCGCCAATATTTAGCTTCAGTGGTTGATCGAGAAACAGTCTATTTGTGAAGTCCAAAGAACACACGTTCTCCATGTCACCCAAGTTGTATTGTCAACGTGTTAATTAAGCCTGAAAATTCCCCGCAGTGAGGAGGCTGAGACTATAAATCTCACATCCGTTGGACAACTAGGAAATTATGAACTGGCAGGGCCAAACCTGCAGTACGAGTAAAAGTAAAAGATATTGCAACCCTCCAACAATGCCTACGAAACGAAGTGGGATCTGATAATGGTTCTCTATATCCTGGTATAATTATAATTCTGTAAATTCAACTGTGTCTATTGCTCAATAAAATAACACACACTCTAATATAAGATAGAATCCACACGATAAGTGATGAGTCGTTTTTATATTATATATTTTATCCAACTTTTAGTATATTTTGGTGATTATTTTTGTAAGATTTTGATATTTTGTTTTGTATTTCCAATGTTGGACATGCGATTTCTCCTAAGCAAAAAGTGATCAAATAGAGGAATTTTTTAGTAATTTCGATGGAGTAGGTTCGTGAGTCTATTAAGAAGATAGTGTTAAAGTTTCAGGATTTTATCTGAGGCATCTGATCATGGTAAATTAATTATTTACTAATGTTTAGTGCTGAGATTGACTTGCATGGCGTATTTGCACGATTTGGGCTTCAAGATGGTTTTTGGAGTTGGGTTCTATAAACTTGAAGAGGATGTCCTAAGCTTCAAATCAAGTCCTTTTGGTTTGATTTGGAGCCCTGATGGTCCAGAAACGTGATTACTTACCTGCAGGATAGATTTCCTTAGTTTGTTTCGATTGTGAATTTAACTTATCCTTTTATTATTTTGTTTCCTAGTTTTAGAAGACCTTTTCGAGGAATGGTTTTATTTTGTAGTAGTATAAATAAGGCTAGCAAGCCATTAGGGTACTTTACGTACTACTTTGGAGAACTCAGCTTAGAGAGCAAAGTGTTTTCTATCCATGTTCTTAATAATTATTTCTTTGATTTTGATTATGAATATATGTAACTAATTCCTTTTTGTTAGGGTGAGTCCACGAACCTTAACAAGAATTAATAAATAGTTTCTTTTCAATTTGCTTATGATATTATGTATGCATGTTTGAATTATTAATCTCCATGTTTGAAACTATCTAATTGTCTTAATGATTCGTGACCATTAGGATGTTTAGACAAGTAATTTGATGCAATTTTTGTTGGAGTATCACTTGAAATTGAGGAGGGCTTCTTATGATTGATAATTGTAATTTCACTTAAGGCGAACATCACGCTCTTAAGGTTTGTTTTTTTTCAAAGAGTTTTCACAAAGCTTAATGAGTCTTCATGTTTATATTTGATCTGAACATCACTGATGGATCACATGTTAGATATAAGTTCTTACGCGAAGATCACGAAGAATATGCGTTAGGAAAACCTAATCTTCAAAGCATGTATTTGGTAATTCATAAGTAACTGATAGAACCACATAGGGTTGTTAGATGTCGGCAAGACCCTTGTGTCTTTTAAACTTGATTTTCAAAACCGTTTTCTTTTATTTTCTTTATTTTTGTTGAATTCTTTAATTGATTTTATTTAATTGCATTGTTATTTCAATTTACAATTTCAAATCCTTTTCCAAACTTTGTTTTAAATAATTAATTAAGAATAGGTTTTAAATACAATTTGTTTTAATAATCTTTATGGAAAACTACCTTACATGAACATTTATACTAGAACTACCTTATTCTTTTGTATGTATTTTTAAGTATTTTTATTTCTAATTTTGTAGGTGGTAAAAATCATATCAATGAGGCTCGTCTATATTAGAAAACACGTCAGTAAGTGTGTGATTTTAGTGTGTAAAAATAGTTTTATTATTTAAACTGTTTCCATAATTTTTCTTAACTTTTTATCCATAAGAACTGACCTATTTTGTCCTGCATTAGTCTCAAATTCGACCTCCATTATCTTACTAATTAAACACCTTTCTACAACACTAGTTATTGTATATTTTCAAACCTCTTACAAGGTAACAGTAAATCTAAAATTAGTTTGAATTGTTGCCTAGGATCATAACGTCAAACCCATAAATACATAACTAATGAGTTTTCATTTAATATTACATGTTTCCAGAGAGTGGAAGTCCCCGTCAAATTTTATACCGAGGTGAGTAACTTTCAACAAAAAAAATATCAACTACCGACTGCAGACTCGAAGTCTCGAAAATTCTACGAACTCAGAAGGCCAGATGCCAGCACAAAACCCTCTCTGCTGAGCTCAACCTATACACACGTCTCTGTGTACACTGTTTTGAACATGCACATTCGAAGTCTCGAAAACTCTACGAACTCGGAGGGCCGCATGCGAGCACAAATCCCTCTCTGCTGAGCTCAACCTATACACACGTCTCTATTTGCGCTGTTTCGGTCCAGATGAAGTGATAACTGAGACATGTACATGCACATAGCCTATGTGCCAACTTTTTCAGTAGCCAAGTAACTACTTAAGAGTTCAGATCTCTGTCCTCATCCCATCTTCCCAATTTTATGGCGGTTTTGTATTTTACTTCTGCTCCTGCATTATAAATAAAGCCTAGCAAAAGACTGGAAAAAGCATTGGAGTTCCCAAAGATTTCCATCTATAAGGCTTTCCTTTTGAGTGTGGTTTTGTGAGCATTATGTTTGTGAAGAAAAAAATGAACAGATTTCTGCCCCTACAGCTGCTTGCGCTCGTTCTCATTTTTTCTTCTGTGGCCACTGAAGTAGTGCCTCAGGATCATGAGACCAAAGGTTCTTCATCCTATCTAGGATCATCACCTTCCATAATCCACATTATTTTCCTTTAATTTGTTCTTTCATTTCTTGTGGTTTTATAATCACAATCTGCATGAAATGTCTCGCGTCATTTGCATGTCTTAATACGTAATTTGGGCTATTCTTCGTACCCCTAAATAATTTTAAAGTGGAACCTACACTTCCTTTAACAGTATTTCAAGGTCCTCTTTTCAACATTTTCAAACCCCAGTTCCAATTTGTTTCATTTTTTCTCTCCCTTTTTTATATTTTGATGAATTAGTAAAAAGAAAACGACATAAACATACAAGGGAAGAGTTTTAATTTTAAACATGTATAAAATTCTAGTGTAAAAATGGTTATTAATAATTGGCAGAAGTTAGATTATTGCGTGGTGTAAACTGTAAAGTTACATGAATAAATCTTTTCTTTTAAAAGAAAATATGTATATATATTCTCATGGTTAATGCCTAAATTACAGCATATTTAGGGTTTTGATTAAATATTAGTTCACTGAAAAGTACATGCATGACCTGTGCAGTGAATGGGGAAGAGAAGACGGTAGACGATTGCATTCACTACGACGGCCTCGGTCGACGTGGTAGGTGTGCCAGCTATGCTGCTGACCCCAAAACTGAAGAAGCCATACTAGAAACACGTAAGTAAACATCTTGCGAAAGTTTCTTTCTTATTACATGAGATACTTATATTTGGATCAATTTTATCTCAAAAATTCTACTCTTATCATTTATTTGTACCACTTTTCTAATAGAGATAGGACACACATGCGTTGGCGAGCCCTACCTATATTAGAGATATGGTACAGATAGGTGGTAAGTGTAATATTACTCATTTTATCTATGTTTTTTTTTAATAGTAGAAGAAACTTTTTACCTACTAACTAATATTGTATGTTAGGCTCCGATTTCTCTTTCAATGCCTAAAACAAGATGATCATATTCTTACACATGAATTTCATTTGTTCAGAGTACATTGACAATCACCACCATGGGAATCATGGTGGTGGTATTGGATATGGAGGTGGCCAAGGGGGCGGAGGAGGAGGTGGAGAGTGGATACAGTGGTGGACAAGGAGGAGGTGGTGGTGGATATGGTGGAGGTGGTCAAGGCGGTGGTGGACAAGAAGGTAGTCAAGGCGGCAGTGGAAGTGGCAAACAAGGAGGTGGTCAAGGTAGTGGACAAGGAGGAGGTGAAGGTGGTCATGGTGGTGGACAAGGTGGTGGAAAAGGAGGTGGTGGTGGAAGTAGCAGGACAAGGAGGTGGTCAAGGCGGTGTAAAAGGCGGAGGTGGAGGAAGTCAAGTTGGTGGACAGAGTGGTGGAAAAGGAGGTGGTGGTGGCCAGGGTGGTGGTAAAAGAGGAGGTGGCCAAGGTGGTGGTGGACAAGGAGGAGGAGGAGGAGGAGGAGGAGGAGGAGGAGGAGGGGGATATGGAGGAGGTGGTCAAGGAGGAGGTGGAAAAAGCAGTGGACAAGGAGGTGGTCAAGGTGGTGAATATGGTGGTGGCGGTAAGGGTAGTGGGGGTCAAGGACAAGGAGGTGGAAGTGGTGGGCAAGAAGGTGGTCAAGGCGGCGGCGGCGGCGGTAGTGGTGTTGGCGGACAAGAAGGTAGTCAAGGCGGTGAACAAGGTGAAGGAAAAGGAGGAGGTGGTGGTGACCAAGGAGGAGGAGGTGGTGGATATGGTGGAGGTGGTCAAGGTGGCAGTGGAAAAGGTAGTGGTGGAAGAGACGGACAAAGTGGTGGTCAAGGCGGTGGAAAAGGAGAAGGCGGAGGTGGTCAAAGTGGTGGGCAAGGTGGCGGTAAAGGTGGTGGTGGACAAGGAGGAGGAGAAGGTGGATATGGTGGAGGTGGACAAGGGGGTGGAAAAGGTGGAGGTGGAGGTGGTCAAGGCGGTGGTGGAAGTGGTGGACAAGGAGGTGGTCAAGGTAGTGGATATGGTGGTGGTAGTGGACATGCAGGTGGTAAGGGCGGTGGTGGTCAAGGACAAGGAGGTGGTCAAGGAGAGGTGGCAGCGGCCATGGAGGTGGAAAAGGTGGAGGCGGAGGTGGAGGTGGTCAAGGTGGTGGACAAGGTGGTGGACAAGGAGGAGGCGGAGGAGGTGGAGGAGGAGGTGGTGGCAGTGGACATGGAGGTGGTAAGGGCGGTGGTGGTGATGGACAAGTTGGTGGTGGATATGGTGGTGGCAGTCCTAAAGGTGGTGCATATGATAGTGGCAGCGGCGGCGGTGGTATCATTCATGGTAACAGTGGTTATTAATTCTAGCAATAGAAGGGAAACTGAAGTGATCCAGCAAATCAGCGCTAGCTTAATAAACGAAGAATAAAAACTTTTGTATGTTTCGTACTTAAACTGGCCAAGTGTATGTGTGTCGAAGTGTTGAGGAAAACATGAGTAACCTACGTTTGTGGGTTCTTGTGTGTATGTTCCATAGCCGATAACCTTTAACGCATGCATGTACTCTTTGTTATAATATAAATAATATGTTTGCACCAATTCTTTTAATGTCACATGATGTATGCTTACATATATACTGCTATGCTTAACAAATGACAATCAACTTATTTCCCAGCATTCACAATATCAACGATCAATAAGAGTATAACTGCAGTACAAATAAGGGCAAGGTTATAACTTCTGCAGTTTTATACCATACGTTTGTAAGGAGTAAAATAATAGAAAAGTTTGCACTGGGAAACAGAAAGGTAGGAATGATGATATTTAGATGATTCAGTTCCCATCTGAGTAAAATGTTGCAAGTTGAGTACAATTGAATAGTTTTTTGCAGCTAATTGTGTTATGCCATTTTGAGATTTGTCCGAGTGTAGGTGAACATTTTGTACAAGGATTAGATTCCCTTTACCTACTCTTGTAGGCTTATACTTCTCTTTAATTCACTCTTTAAAACTAATTAAATTGTTCATACTGTTGCAGCAGTTATAATTTAATTAGGACTGCAATTGTGTACATCTTAGTAGATTATATTTAAGATTATGTTTTTAATCTTTTCTATTGGACTTTGTAATTCTTTTAGGACAAGAAAGTTTGCTATGTTTATCATAAATAAAAAACTGGTGAGAAACTTTACAACAAAATATCTCTTTTTCCTCTCTCTCCATGCACCGCACCTTCTCCCTATTTTCTTACTAAAATAAACCTAGAACACATTATCACCATGTTCCTGATGTTGCGTTACAGTTTGGATAATGATCTTCTACAACCAAGTTCAAAGATCTTCTTAGTTTCATCAATCAAGTACCTTCTAAAACACGGTTTCAATTTTGATATTTTGATTACTTTTGATAGCATAAAACATTTTCTATGATGCATTAACCCTAAATTTATTTTCGTATTACTTGTTGTTCAATATCATGCTATATTATATTATATTGTTATGGTGAATTGATTGTGCGATGAAAAAAAATGAAGAAAATAGGAGCACAAACAATGGTTTTTCAAACTCTAAATTGCGTGTGACAGCCTTAATCAAAATGAGTCGTTCCTGTCCTTCGATCCCCGCAACCCTCACCATTTCCGGTGACCCTTGTGACCTCCAACTACGACTTGCAATCCACCTCCAAATCTTAGGAATCGAAACGAGTCGTCCCTGTCCTTCGATCCCCGCAACCCTCACCGATTTTAGGATGTGTAAAATTTGATATTTTTCATTCTTTTGGTGAAAGGTCGACGTGATGATGGTTTATATCATACATTGTTGTTGCAAGAGATCCATTCGTCTCTTAAAACAAGAGGAGTGTATTTTTTTATCACTATCCTAAAGTGATGGTGATACTCACTATTTTATTGAATACTGTTATAAATTAGTTTAAACTCATTCAATGATAATTAATAAGATGATAATCAAAAATACATTCGTTTATTTTAAGAGACAAATGGATCCTTGCAACATCAATGTATGATATAAATCATAATCACGTCCACTTTTTCAACAGAAAAAAAAAAAATAATTTACACATCCTAAAATCAAAGTCTCTATGGATAAACATCGAGGTATACACATCTAGGTTACCTTTGTTATCTTTGTCAACAACTACACGTGCCTTAGTTTCACTTTATAAGGAAAATAGGAAATTAATGACACTCAAGAACGAACAATGTTATGAGTAGTCGCTCACATTCAAATATACAATAACAATAAAAAAATCATTCACCACCACAGTGATTATTGCCACATTTTTTTCTGTTGATATTGTTCTAACAATCACTACCACCCTATGTATATTGTTCTACACCATCACCACGAACCTACGTAGCAACTTCATCTTTATCTTCAAATATATGGTGCATGTGCAAGTGCATGCGACCATGTAACAGTGAGCAACATGCCAAAGAAGACTTAGCTGCAGGGGGTATATGAGGAGAAATTGGGAAAAACAAACACATGAGAGTATACACTTCGTTGCAAGCAAATTTGGACGTGCCAAAACACAAACATTATGAGCTTGGTAGAAATAAGGTGAAAAACTGACAGTTCAGTTTTTTCAACGGTGCAGTTACAGCCACAGTGTGGCATGTGATGAGCCTTGTACGGATGCTTCCTCTCCCATCGTCGTTCTGTACAAAGGTTTGAATTGCAATCACCAACTCTCTGATCTCCATTTTTTAAAGGGGTTGGTTGGTGCCAATTGACCCTGTTGTCATTGTCCTTTTTAAAGGGTTTTGATGGAAAAAGATAATTAAAGGTTTTTGTCTCTGAATCTGCCTCACCCCTAGTAGTCAACTTATGTAATTTATTGACGATTTGTTATTAATGTCACTGATTGTGACTTATTAACTACAATAAGCAAAATTAACCATGTCGCATTGTGCTCTAACTCACTCATTTGTATTCATTCAGCATCCTGATATTGTAGTTATGGGAATCTGAATAAATATCCGACATAAGAAGTCTAATAAATTTGTATATGCTTATAAGAGTTAGGTTATTTTTTAGGGATATTTTGGATGCGATTCTTAGTCCCTAATATTCTTTGACTAAAACCTTAATAGTATTCGAAGTTTGATCAAAGTCCCTTGACTTTGTACACCTCATTAATATTTATATTTTTATAGTTTTAACATTAATTGTTTGTATTATAAACGGCTACAATAAAAAAATTCAAACATTTTGATTGAATGGATGGATAAAAACTATGTAACAATGAGAAATAATAAATGGCAAAAGAATATATCCATTGACACACCCCGACCCGGAAAGTCCACTAGGATTCCGAATCGAGCTATGCTGGCCGACACCTGGAAAGTGACGAAGCCATAGAATGTGATAATGTGTAAAATATGAATAAATTTAAACTTAAAAAATGCCTATATACACAAATACACGGTGAGCGAGTATGGACCCATTTTACTGCGTGATACAGAGCATAAGTAAGCACAGTAAGGTAAGATAATGATTATACTATCATAAGAGGCCACCTGAACTGGGAGTGCCACAAGTCCTCGTCGATACGGAACTTTGCTATTAGAACCTAGAAGGGTGCAAAAATAGAAAGAGTGAGTGGTTGAAACAAAGATTTTCAAAATCATTTCATTATCAAAGGTAGTAACCCTCGTCGTAAGACCTGTATAGTTTCCAACAAATCATACTACGTAAAAGTATGAAATCAAAGGTATACTAATAGTAAACCCGGAAATATACCACTATCCAGCATCTCATTAGCAATACAAATAATCACGTGCTCAATAAACCATACTAGCATGCAAGTCAGAATCACCTATGGTGACCTGTACAAATGTACACATATCACCTCAATCAATACTAGCACATAAGTCGGAGTCACCTATAGTGACCTGTACGACTTATCCATATCTCATCACATATCTCATCATTCATGGCTAACATATAAGTCAGAGTCACCTATGGTGACCTGTACGACTTATCCATATCTCATCACATGTTTCATCATTTAGCTCATTTACCAATTCCTGCACACGAGTCGGAACCACCTAAAGTGATCTGTACGACAGGCTGGGTGTAAATAAATACGCTCAAGTGCTACGATCACGTGAAAGCTGTGCGAAGTATCGCAAGTCACCTACGAGTCGGAACCACCTAAAGTGGTCTATACAACAGGCTGGCACCTACCTTGGATCCAAGGTGAGCGTGTGGTGCGGAGGTGAACGATCACATGAAGGCTAAGCCTTGGCCACGGGCGGGAGCATTAACACCGGGGTGCAGGTTTATGAGCTCTAATATATCTCAACACAATCATACTCACTACTATCACTATCATTAACATGTACTCACCTGAAGCTTACCTGGATGTCCGTAGCATCATTTGACACTTCAAAGCATTCACAATAATTAGGTTCAGGTACTATACATATGAATATGCCATGATGTAATCTGAAATTCAACCATATTATAATATTTCCAGATATATAAACATATATACAAATGGCATGAAATGCATAACCGTAACACCCCACTCCCGAACTATTTGCTTTCGAGAGTAATCATCAGTGATAAGTCCAAATAGACACTAATTAAATTAACTATCACTACTTACCTTTCCTTACTTCAATTTCTTGATTCTTTACATCTTAATTTATGACCAACATTTAACTACCAAAACTTAAGGTTAAACCTCACATTTTTCACCAATCACCCTCACACTACTCAATTCCTCAAATAAGGATATTGTCTCAATTATTTAGTCTCGTTTATTGTATGGCTGCATCTAACGTCTCGTTAGACTGCCTATGTACCCTAAACAGGGATCAAGCCATTCGTAGTTCACAATTATTAATTGTAGATAACATGTATATGGATATACTATGACATAATCTAAACTCAACCATCTATTAGCACTTTAAAACATATACATATATATATATATATATATGACATGGCATAAAATGCTTAAATCAATTTAGAAGCATTTGTGGAACCATCAATTATATACATATGATAAAAAGGAAAAGATCTACTCACCTGGAGTCCACGCTATGATTCACTATCACGCATATCGAGGCATCCTGAACGATTGGTGCCTATAACAATTATTGAATCACATCTCAAAACTCTTGTCAATAGAATATGAAATTCACATAAGGTACATCCTCAAGAACATTCTAAAATAGTTTGAGACTCATAGACCACAAGTCAACTGTTGATCAAAGATCGACGGTAGGGTCTACAAACCTGAATAACTCGATCCGGAAGATACGCGTATCATATTTCCAATCCGTAACTTCCAAAGATCCACATTATGCTTCTAGAATAACCTACTAAAATTTCATTACGATCCAACGGTCGGATCTTCGCCAATTGCCCAAAATCAAGTGGCCGTTGGATCATCAGAT